GTCGCAAAGCACCTCGAAGAGATAGAAATGGCATTTGATATTACATTCAGACGAGACTTCCGTTTCCGGTGTGGAAGTGAGTGAACGTGTGTCAAAACACAGTGCTATATTACTGATTTTTGGAGTGTAAGGAGGAAGTATTTGGTAGTGTAAAGGTAGTTTTTACAAAACTTTAATTTTGGGGAATAGTTGGAAATAATAGTCATCATAAAAAAAGAGCCGTAACAATAAACGTAAGCCAGGCTTCTCAGTGGTGGTATAAGAGATAGGTTAGAGACATTTCTCGTGGGCGAAATAGAGGGGCAGGGAGGGAGAGACAGGGAAGGTGAAGGTAGCGCTCTTGAGCTACGACTAGCTTGGGTGGCAACAGTAGGTCAGGTAAGGCAGGGAGTTAGGGGTAAGGGAGCATGTCGGATGATAATGTGGAGAATCAGGCGGGGAATTTGAACCTGTTTCGATCCAAACTTGCGCTTAGGAGGACGGCAAGTGCGAGGGACCTAACAGAAGCGATTTCTGTGGGGAAAAGAAAGGAAAGGGAGGCTGAATCCGAGTTGAAGTTAGCAAAGGTTAAGGCGGAAAGGGAGGTTTTTAAAAGAAGTAAATTACTGACTAGGTCCCCAGTAAAACAAAAAGAGATGGAGGAGATTATGAAGAAGTTAGCAGAAATAGATACTAGGATTAAGGAGGAATGTGCAAAGGTGGGAAAAAGGGTAGACGAGCTGAAGGAAGAAGGGAGGAAGGAAAGGAATGAACTGAAAAAAATGTGGGAGGAAGATAAGAAACAGATGTATAATAAAATAGAAGGATTAGAAGATAGGTTGGAAAAATTAGAGAAGGTTGCTAGCGACAATATAGAAATGTCGGTGGAGGGGGAAGATTCAGGCGTGAGGAGAGGGCAGATAGCGAGGGAAACAGGAATAAGGATGAGAAAAATGGAGATGGAAGTAGAAAAAAGGGAGAAAGAGGCAAGGAGGCAAAATGTATCCTGAAGGGTCTGGATATGAGAGCAGGAGTGGATTGGAAACAGGAGGTTGATCGGGTGTGGGAGAAGATGGAAGTAGTAGCGGGAACAACGAGTATGAGAAAGATTGGCACGCTAGATAAGGAGGGAAAGGGGTTACTTTTGATAAAAATGAAGGGGATTGAAAAGAAAAAAGAGGTCATGGCGGCAAAAAATAAACTAAAAGGAGAGAAGTTGTAGGTAGAAGATGATTTGACATTTGAGGAAAGGAGGATC